ACTTATGGAATCACTTATAATCAAAATATGAATAGCAGAAATAAGCTAAAATATATAAAGATGGAGTTGGAATGTTAAATGCAAGATTCATGGGAAGTGATCAGAAAACAACTTTACTTTTTGATCTTTACTCCCTTTTAAGAAAGTTACTGGGAGGTGATAATCTTCCCCTGCCCCTGAATGGAAAATTGAGCAGATTCCCTGACTTTTTAGTTCGTTCTTCTATAATTGACAGTAGCTTTAAGTAAAAAAAAAAAAAAAAAAAAAAAAAAAAAGTCTTGATTTAGTAAATAAAATGTTTCCAGTCTAAGATGGTAACCAAAGACTTCAGTCTTCATCCTAAGGTACTAATCTAAGACTTCTCCTCCCTTCCCCTGCATAAGGCCTCCTGTGGGCCTGCCTCCAGCTTTCTCCCCAACTTATGTCCACCGCCACTAGCTAACTGCTATTTGATCTGCTGAGTAAAAGTGGGAGGAGGCTGGACAGCTGAGGGGATAGGGCAGTTCTGTTTTGATAGGATGGGTCTGTACTACCTGAGTCTGGCAGATGGCGAAAGTTGACTCTTTTTCTTGTAGAGTGCAATTAAAGGTTCTTTGGAGATTGCCATCATCAGGGACCTCTCACGTGAGTCCCTTTGTCCTAGACAGACACAGATGGTTACTTGTGACAACCTCTGTAGGTTCTAGGATTTCTGTGTTCATCTCTAACTTCTGGTCACTGGTTCCCTCCACACCTCCAGCCCTTTTGAATAGACGCAAGGCAGCCCCATGCTGACTGTCTTCTATGTGACCCACATCTGGTCCAGGGAAACATTTACCCACTTGTCATCCCTATCAGATCCGGGAGAATCAGTGGATCCCAAGGCAGCCACCTCTGCTTTGTGGCTACTGCTTTCTTTATGTTTATAGGTAAGAGTTGGTGCAGTTCTCTGTTTTACAGCTATAGGGAACAATTTCCAAGCTCTCTAGTCCCATAGAAACCCCTCCTTAGCCTTGAGGAGAAGGTACAGCACAAGTACTGCCTCTCCTTCTGGGTATGCGGGGAGTGGGGACTCAACAGCACAAGCAAATTTCTCCCCAAGGAGCATCTTCACAGACCCTCCCTCTCTACACTATCTTCATCTCACAGGAAGTAGAACTGTTCTTCAACACTGATTTTGTACATAAAACTTCACTGAAATAATCATCTTTAATTGCAACTAACCATTTGCAAATCTGTCTCCCAGTCTTTCCATCTTTATCTTCCCTGCACTGCTGAGCACAGAGCTTAGAACAAAGTAGGTGCCCAGTAAATGTTTGATGAATGGATGAATGAATGGATCTGAAATCTCCTTTGGTTGTACAGTGGATTCTCAGAAACACTATAAAATAATCTGTATAGATAGCCTATTTTATCACTCCCTGGGAGACTAATCATTCTTCTATTTGTAACATGCTGGGAGTTTCCTAGAATTCATATACTCTAGCATTTATCAGCCAAGAAATTTTGAGAGATGAAACAACACAGAGAAAAAAATCATCTTTTTCAAGGAAGAGATGAGTAAGTAAACAAGAGCTTAGGTTTTTAGAAAAGTTATGGGATGTCAAATCAAACTTCATAAAAAATTTTTTCCCCAAAGCTGTGGAACTGTGGGTATTATTTGAGTAGTTCATTTCAAACCCCTAAAGCTGGATGAACAATGAAGAAACAAAAGAATTAGATTTAAAATATTTAGCAAATGTTAATGTGTTAAACATAGGTGATGGATATAATGAGTTCATCATACTATTCTTTTTAGTTTTATTGTATGCTTAAACATTTTATCTTAAAAGTAACATTGAAAAATTGAAGCTAGGAATCACCAATGTCTTTATCAGGTTTTAGAAATGAGCCAGAGGAAGCAAAAATGTAACAGAAACTAGGTAGACTTGGCCATCTTATAATGAAGCCCTCACAGGTCCCGTTAATATGGGGTGTCCCCCCAAAATGTATACACACTTTAATAGCTGATAGATCAATTTTGAAAATGAAATGTATTTTAATAAACAGTGCCTTTATAATTATTCAAAGTATCTGATTACATTTTTTGGGGGACACTCTATGCATTAGTATTATGATAACCATAAAGCTGTTCTTATTTAGACTTGGGAGTAAAAATTTTGGAAGCAGGAATTTTTGCTTAGGAATCATGTAGAGTCAGAATATATAGAAATAGAAGGATATTTGGGGATTACTTCAGCCCATGCTGTCACTTTACAAAGGAGAATACTGATGCCCCACTCTCCCCCCCCCCCC